GGGGGGGGGGGGGGGAGGGCTAAAAGCTGGAATCGTGAGAGCGCTTATGACTCAGTGAAAATCAAAATTCGGAGTCGTAAGAAGAGCCATAAGCGCGATGGAATCGGAGTCGGAAGAATCAGAACATTTCCATTTTCCTCCGACTCGGCTTATACGATCTAGTGAAAACCAGATTGTCGGAGTCGCAAGCAGAGGCGGAAGGATGAACCAATCACAATGCGCGTTACCACACTTTGTGATTGGTCTAGTTCTTCTGCTTCTGCTTGCGACTCCTAGGACCTAGTTTTTACTTGATCGTAAACAACGGAGATCGTAAGCGGGATCAAAAAGCTGTTTTCACTAAATCGCAAACTTCTACACTTCTGATTACGACTCCGACTCCGTTGCCAGTGAAGACCAGCCTTAAGAGAGCCGAACTCCTCACACGAAAACTTACTTTAAAAGAAATTAATGTAACCGTTCTAAAAACAAAATTTTCAGTGGAAAGATTTCAGACGTCATGTTCGATTAGTTTCTCGAGAGCTGAGAAATTTCTCTCCCCAATTCCCTTCCCTTCCCTTCTTCCCTTCCTGACTTCCCATTTCGATGCCCGCTAGCCTGTTTACAGCCGTCCCCTCACCACAGTAAAGAAGGGAGTTCAAGATACCACGACGGCAACAGCCACGAAAAACGTCGCTTAAAAATTGAATTTGCGTTCTTTTAACGGTCTATCGCGATCACTCCAACTAATTTACTTTGTCCTGTAAAGCAAGCCGGAACTCTTTTTGAACCGAATTCCTGAGAACCACAATCAAGTTCAGAAAAAGAAAGAAAATTTAGCCGTCGCTTGTTTACGTCCTCCATAAAACGCGAAATTAGGCATTTTCCCGTCGTAGTCGTGCAGTGACGGCATAGAAATGTACAAAAAAGCGTGATACACGTGCAGAGTTGTGGTTTTGCCTTGTCAAACTATTACTTTCTTAAAGGCCTCGTTGTCGTCATCGTCGTGGCATCTTAAAGTCCCTAAAATTGGAGAAGGGATCCCTTCTCCGACTTTTTTCTGAGACCGGGCGTGGCTGTACACACAGGTTGGTTTCTTTTTATTGTTACAACATTAATTGCATTTTACCCAGTCTGCGAACGCTGACCTATTTCCTGTTGTCACTTGTCTGCCCCGAAAAATTAACTTTATAAAGATAGATAAATGCTGTAGCACCTTGCTACAATGTATTTAATGTATTTGCCTAGATCTCGAAAAAGATGTTTGTTTTACGCATATTGCGTTGACATGAAATCGTCGAAATACCTTTGTTATTGAAATTCAAACTTCCGCTGTTTTGAAATAAGTCATAAGAGATTGTGGTATAGGCACGCATTTTATTCACCGTAACCAGTAGAGATCATATATGTTGCATATACTCTGTTACTACGATTATGTTCAAGTATTTGGAAATACTTGGCACTATTTTCCTGGCATTTACTGCTTTGGTACAAAATTCTGTTAACAACCCTTCGATCCTATGGGACTCAAAGAATCCAATGTAAGTAGCAATTTTAATGTTTATTGTGTTTGTTGTGCTAGCAACTTTTCGGCTAGAGCCTCGGAACGACATCATGCACTGATTTATGTAAAAATATTTTTCTTTTGTGATAACTTAACATCAGGAGATCCTACAAGTCAGGGACTCAAATCATTGCTTCCAAAACAAAACTTTTTTTCAGCATAACTGATGTCACATAGTGTGTTTACTCAGAAAAAAGTCACGATTCTTTTGCAAAGTTTCAAAGGAATTCAGTACTAACAAAACGTAGACAACGAATGCGATTAGGTCATTAATAGATCCTCCGTGAATCGTTCAACTAGACTGAATTGTACCCGTCCGATAATTTCGCGTCCGTCCTTGATTGAGAAAAGGAAAGTGAAGACTCGAGTTCGGCATGCTCAAGATTGCGCTAAAACATTTGCAATACATTGCGAAATCTTAACTGAGAACGCTACGCAGTTGTTGTTGTTGTTTTATACCAAGTTAAAAGCGAACAAAATCCTGAGTTACTAACCTTACAGTCATGCGCAAGTTAAATCTAAATCCGTTAATCCGGATTATTTCTCGTTACAAAATATGCGATTACGGTATGTTAAAGTCCCCATATTTAGTCTTCTACTAAGTGCTGGTAATCCGCAAACACTTTTTTGGAACCACTTTCTAGATTTTTCAGTTGTGGCAAGGGGCTGAGCTTCAACATAAGACGGTACAAATTAGAAGCGGAGTTAGTCCGGTATCATCGTGATATAAATTTAACTGTAATTGGGTTCGGCTCCAGTTATCATTTCTCAAGTACAGTAACTCTATAAGTAAAGATGTCCAAGACGTAGGAAAAAAGGGAAAGGACAAGAGTTTTGCCAATTTAGTCGGTTAAGGCAAAGTTTGATTCATAAAACAATCTCGGACATTCTATTGAGAATTATGAATTGCTTAGAATTAGAAAATTGATGTTGGGAAGTTTGAATGTATGTTACACGAAGTCGATATGGTAGTCATATTTGTATTACACGGATTCGATATGGTAGTCATATTTGTATTCTTATTTTTACTTTACAAAACTATACAAGGACAAAAATTTGCCTAGTCCTGATAAAAAAGGCCAGTCATTTCCACTACGACATCTAGAATTAATTACATGAGTCACAGTGAACTCGTTAAAAGCAATTTTCCGCTCGGTTTTGTCAGTTTAATTTCATATTCATTGATAAACACCCTCGTGCTAATTATATTCTGCTGAGGAAGTAGCCTGCTCTAATGGTTATATAATATATTGAAATAAAACAGTCATAAGGCAAGACGATGTATTACAAGAAAAGTGCTATTTCCTTTACCCGAGACTTGTACCAGCATTTTGACTCATTGGTCTGGCTTAAACTTGTTCTCTTAGTTGCATGCAGAGCGTAGGTAAAATCTACGACAAAAACGCGGTGATTTCCAATTTTACACCCTTATGCTAAGAACGTCACCGAATTTTAGACACGAAAAAAAAATTTGAATTCTAATTACCACATCCTCTTTTGCAGCCTGGCTGGTTGTAACAAAGCAAAATGGCGTTAGTTAGGTTTTTAGTCTTACTATTTCACTTTAAATCGACGATTTTACTGCCTTTGTACCCCTCTATACAATGGACGCCGTTTAATCCCATGTAAGTATTAAATGCTGTGATTAGGTTATTTTTATTGCAAAATCACTACGAGCCTCAGCGCTCCGGAAGTTAAAAAATTCGTACCGTCTGGTTGCTATGAAGTGACGTAATCATCCAGTTGAGTATCCATCACCGTAACACTTTTGCGGTCAACTACCGCAGCGCTCGTAAAGTACTTTAATTAAAACCGTGTTCAAAACCCTGTAGGAAGTCTGTTTATTTTTGAGTCGATTAATGCACTGCTGA